GAAAAAAATGTTTTCCTGCATCATTGTCATTCTTGATCTCTAAACCTCCATTTGGGATACCAAGTATGAAGTTGGTGGTGTTTGGGTTGATTGGTATGGATCTCCCATTGACAACTATATCTGAGCAGCTGACATCAGTGTGACTAGCTATCCATTTGACAAAAGATAGTGGTATAGCACACCTTTGAAAGTTTAGAAGAGAACCAAAAGCAGAATTCTCAATAATTGACCTTTGCTCGTTGCTAAGCCCTTCAATCAAATTGGAAAAGTATGTGATGTTTAGTCTGCTTCTTGGTTTTGGGGACTCTGCACTTCCAGATTTATCTTGGTCATATTCAAGTTTTGTGCGCTGGAAGAAAAAAAATAGAGATGTAATTATGTCTTGTTAACAAAGAACAACATAAACTAATTAACATACTAGATGTGGAAAAAAAATGTTTAGGAAAAAAAAGACAGAAAGTGATACCTTTTGTTTTTGTCTCCTTACTGGTTTGTCTGTCCTAGCTCTTTTCCTTTTGATCGATCCTGAAAACTAACAGAGGCAAAACAAGTATGAAGTTAAAGTTATTGATAGCTGTCTGTGGTAGTAGAAAATGATATTTTGGAAAAAAAAAGGAAGAAACATATATACCAGATCTTTTAATGTGCTGACGAGATCTTTTTTTGTTATGTATTTGTCAGAATCACTGGTTTCTTCCTCTTCTGAAATAGAGTTGGCATAATCAGAATCTGCCACCTTGTTGTCCGACTTGCTATTTGATGAACATTCATCATCTGATGATGTCCTGTCACTTGCCATACTGGAAAAAAGAACTAGAGAAGTAAGCACATTAAAAGGAAAAAAGAGAGATCTTGTCAAATGTCTTGATATTTTCATGTGTAACCAATCAAACCCCAAAAAAAAAAAATTCTCAATGTCCTGATAGGCTGCTAAGCCACATGTTAAACTGTGCCAAAAAAAAAAGAAGCAGTGCCAAATTCAAACAATACCACTTGCATCTTGTTGCTTTTTGAGAATTCGTGCAAAGGTTGAAATCATGTGCAAAACTGCATATGCAGGTATAACATTATTAATTCACAAAATTTAATGTGTTGCACAGAAAATTTGATTACTATCTCATATAAGTAAATGTCAACTACAACATCTTGGTATTGTGAAAAAATGTGTTAACTATTAGCATGATTATAGTTGCACAAAATCATAATTAAAGTTGCACGAATTAATAACCAAAGTTGCACAACATTAAAAAATGGCGACCGTAGGAAATAGGAAGGTGCAATTTTTGCATATAAAAGTAACAAACTGGATAGATATGACATTATATTATTCGACCGCCCACATTTCCAAGCTCACCAGCAAAATCAAAAAACTTAGCAGAAGGAAATGTACTCTTCTTGGCCTGCAGCAAGCTCCTCCCCCGTAGATCCAACGCTCCCTGAAAACAAAATCGTAGTGAGTTATTACATCTGAGCATACAATCAGTCTGAAGTTGTGCTTGTTTATAACCAAAATTAGGAAAAAAAATCATATAGTAGTCAGCTAAAAAAGAATTAGTTGCACGATTTATTAATTGAAATTGCATATATTTATAACATAACTTGCGCGAAATGTATAGTATTAGTTGATTTTGCTATTTGGACTATGCTGCTGGGGTGTAGATGGTTGAAGCGGAAAAACACAGTAAATGAAAAAAAGAGACACACTTGATGTCGTGTGTTCATGAGAAAAAAAAGATACAACATGAAAAGTAGTATGGGTTGCAAAAAGCAAAAACACATGAAAAGTTGGACAAAAAAAAACTTTATAAACCAAACTTGTAGAGACTTAACCTAGAAGTTGCCCATGTTTGAAAAAAAAAGGCAATTACTAAGCTATATAAAAACATATTAATGGTTGCGCATGTCTAGAAAAGTGTCAACTACAACATCTTGGGTGTGCAAATTCTAAAAAAAGAAATCAGTACTGCCAAAGAGATTTATGAAAAATGAAGAAAAAGGTAACTAATAACAAGGGAACTAACTTCTAGCCACAAGCTCCACCATCCCACTGTCGAACCACTGCCAATCCTTCTATATCCAATCCATCCTTAGACTACTCCCCAAGTTACAGCCAAAAAATTGCAAAGAGAGTCACTGTTGATTATACTACTACTGTATTAGCATCCGCAGTTTGCTCAGGTTTTTCACCAGATCAGGTATTTCAGGTTTTTCACCAGAAAAACCTGAGCTCGCCAAACATCCAAAAGAACCGCCGATTTGTTGTGGCGTTGATCCCGAGTCCCGCAAAACACCAAATGAATCCCCTTCCCATCATAATAAAAAGAAAAAGAAAAGGCAATGAAATTACTAAGAAAACAAGTTGTCTACCAAAAGTCCTCACTTGTATGCATGTTTTCCCAAACAACAAACGCTATTTATCAAAGTAAATGGAAATTTGGTTAAAAAAACATTAGTTGCACAAAATTATTACATGACTTGCACGAAAATTCAAAATGGCTACTACAATAGTCAGGGAGTGCAACTAGCGTAGATACATAATTTTCAGAAAAAGAAATAATGAAAATTTAAGGCCATGTGCTGATCGAAAGCATAGGTTTTAGTTTGAGGCCATATTTAAAGCAGTAAATAAGTGAATCATTGATACAACATAACTGTACATAGCATATGAAGAGATATGCTTTATACTGTCCATTTATACAGTACTATCGCAAATTATATTATCCATTTATTCTCTGTATTTTAGTTTCAGATTAATCCTACTGTTTCCATTAATCTCACCCTCGTTTGCGTTTGCCACTGTCATTTGCTGAGTTGCTAATGACACAGACCGATGCTTTTGCGAATTGCGATTACTCTCCTCTCTCAGTGATCTACTGGTAATCTCAAAAAGATTAAACATAATTGATAGGAGCAGAGCCTGGAGTTCATTTTTAGGGAGGCTTATCTCAGATTGATCACTGATGGAATGGAAGCAAAAGTGGCTTAGTATGTCACAGTTGAGCAGGAGTATGTCACAGTTGAGCAGGACTACCATTAAAAAAAATACACAGCACACAAAACAACAGATAGCTTTTGTCTACAAGCAGAAAACACAACTCCTCCCTGTATACAGTGACACTGAAATCCCAAAAAATTGTGGTATCCCTGTATACAGTAACCTCTGATTAAACTCCCTGTATAATCTGACAATACTGGGGACAAATGTAAGAACATTTGCTGGGATTTAATGAAATATTGGTTAGTTCTTGAGCTCGAATTGCTACCAAATCCCTAAACCCCTTTCTAAAATGCCACGGCACAGAGGTCATCACTGCCCTACAGGATTAACGACTAAATCTAGAGCAAAACCATGTGTGTGCATTCCATGATATATCAGATCCAACTAGTGAAACTGCAAAACTCCCTAACAAATGAAGTTAGAGAGAAAATAATTAGTGCCAAGGTTTAGAACCAGGCAGAGGCACAGCCCACCTCCCGCCGACTATATCATACACGATGTGCAGTAAAACCCTAAAAAAATTTCCCAAACTACATCGAACAAAACATCAAAGCACACACACCATGTGGTTTCAGATCCAGGATGCTTTACTCGACATTGGGCAAAATCAACTCAAAACTCAAGCAATGAAACAAACTCCACGGGATTCCCCCCCCTTGAAATGGTAGCCAATCCAGCCCTAATAGCTCACAATCCACAGGATAGAAATCTGGACCAAAGGAAATCAGGCCGCCACGGCGTGAGGATTTGAACAAAAAAGAGAGATGAAAAACCTGCAGTGCATCAACTCCTCTCCCCCGCCTCTCTTCTCCGGCGCCGTCCGCGGCCGCTCGCGGTGCACAGCCCACCTCTCGCCGCCCCCCTCCCCTTCCCCTCCACTGCCTACCTTGGAAGAATCTCCGGCGCCTTCCGCTCGCAGGACTCCGCCTCCTACTCGAGAAACAGAAACGTCGAGAAGCAGAAGCGCTCTCTAGAGAGTCACGGGTGTGGTGGATTTTTCCAGAGCTATTTGTGGGCTGTGGGCTGTGGGCTGCGGGCTCTGGGCTTATTAGCAAGGAAAAGGTGATGGAAAAGCACGACCCATATAAAAAAAGAGCCTTTCCACTAGCCCGATAGCGCGCACAAAAGTTGACTGATCGATTAAAATTTTGCAGGCGACTACAAAATAGCAAATGCGTTGTTTTTATGTAAAAGTTTGAATAATTTGTGTTACTCCTCTCAAAACTTAAAGAGAACTGTAAAGAAAGTAGCCAACTTGGTTGGTAACATATGACAAAGCCTGCATAGCGCATAAAGGAATAAGTTCACTTTAGGTCCGATCGAATATAAGTCAAGTTTGATTTGCATTCTTCGACCGCAAAACTTGGTACAAGACGTGCTCCAACTTCTAAAACTAGGGCAAATCAAGTTCATCGGTAGCATTTGAGAGTGGTTTCCTATATGTCATCCTAGTTAGCAAAAAATAAAATAAAAAAGCAAAGGTCATGCGGGACCCACTTGTAAGTGGCCAACCACCATCTTCAACTTTTGTCTACTCTTTCTCTCTTTAATCCTTGTGGTGGCGGCGGCAGGATCTCCTGGAGGTCGTGGCGAGGAAGGTGGACATGCCAGCAACAGAGGAGCTCGAGGAGGCCACGGCGACATGGGAGCTTGATGAGGCCGGCGAGAAGGGTGCTCGCCACGCTGTCCCCATTTGGCCCTCACCTCCCCAATCTCCCCCGCTGTGCTCGTTGGCCGGCAACACCTTCACGGAGCCACCAGTGGACTTATTATTTCGTGCACAAACACATACTCCCTCTATCCCATAAAAAACGAATCAAATCTAGTATGATGTAACACATCTGTTACTAGATTGGTTTTTTTATGGAACGGATAGAGTACGTGATACGCCCCGATATGGTTTAGAAAAGTTGCTCACACGGCCCAAAGAGCCCATAGAAGTTCGGCCTTTTGGGGCCAATTGGGAGCCCACCAAGGAGCAATTTTTATGGGTGGGCTTCGAGCCTTCCTTGTCCAGCGTGGGGCGGGGCACTCCCACATCCACCGCATCCCAAGCCGACGGCCGCGGTGGCGACCCGCCGAGTCGCCGCGTGCCGGTGCCGTGTGGACCGGGAGCGCGCCGTGGCGCGGTTGAAGGGAGCCCCACCACACCCCCTTGAGTTCTTGTCGCCCACTCAGCCTCCCGTCGCTGCCGGCGTGGCGCCCACCCTAGGACGCCCGCCACCTGCTCGTGCAAATGCGAGAGCCAGAGCCGGCCACAGCGGTGCTACCCGTTTACGCGCATTGTCGTTGGGGGGAAGAGTGCGGTCATGATTCGCGTGTGCCTCCAGTACCGTCCTGTTGGCAGGCTCACAGCAGAGCCGCTGCGGGGCTCCGGTCTCTGTCGTGGAGTCACGGAACTGCTACTTCGTCGGATCCTTCATGGAGATTCAGGTACCAACCTCTCAAATTTAGCTGGTTTACAACTGAACCAAGGTGAATTTGGTGATGATTGTTCAATGTTCAGTAGATATATGTCTGATTATCACGTAGTAGTAGGATTGTAGGAGTTGTTTTTCCCTTCTTGAGGATCTTCCCCAACCAAGTCAAATTTCTTTGCAGGGAACAAATGGTGCAATTTTCTTGTTCCGAAGAAGTTGACAGCACAGAAGGAAACTCACACGCTTGTGCATATGGATCACTTCCACTATAATTCTATAAAGGTCAGAATTAGTATTTGCTAATTTATCTTGTAGGTAGTTACTGATAAGGCTAGGAATTAGCTGCTTTGGAAAGGTAGTGGCATGCTGGCATGCGTTCTCTTGTTGCGTAAGCTCATGGGAACAGCATGCAACTCTAAATATAAATAGCATGCACAATCTTCTTAAGAACAGGCATATCTTTGATGGTGGAATAGTGCCAGAAATGTGTAAACTGAATATCATTCTTTTAGTTAGGAACACAAAAGGGGGCAAATGAAACATTCTCAACTCTCAAAGAGTGCCCCACTAGATTTGGTTAAAAGGGCTGGCATGATGTACCTAACAAATCATTTAAGAACTGTCTTAGACATGTAGGCAGATCTTTCTAGCCACACAGTCCTGCAATATCACAATGTGCTAATTATTCTTTGACACTTTCTTGATCACCTAGATGTCAAAAAAAGGAGTGAGTGTCATAGGTAGAGTTTTCTGGCCCACCGCTCGTGCGAAGCAGCAAAGGTCACTCTCCTAGGCTGAAATTTATATTCCCCATAAAAATCTACAATTGCAGTGTTGCATCATAGGCCAAACCGTTGAAAATCTGATGTGTGAATCATATGTGAACCTTTTGAAAGCTGGAATTTTTTGCTGGACATATATAGGGGCGAGTATGCATGTTTGGCATGATGAATGGACCCCATGTATATACCCTGTGAAGTCGGGTCCTGATGGCAACAGGCCAGATAAATGACGTCTCCATGAGAGTTCAGTTAGTTGAGGCCAGCTTATGTGTTCTTCAGGGGTATGTCTATTGCTCCCAACTCCCAAGTTATTGCCACGCATGCAAAATATTACGTGAATGGTACTTCCTCCGTTTCAGGTTATTAGACGTTTTGACTTTGGTCAAAGTCAAATTGCTTTAAGTTTGATCAAGTTTGTAGAAAAAAATAGTAATATTTTCAACCAAAGACAAATTTATTATGAAAATATATTTAATTATTGATTTGATGAAACTAATTTAGTATTATAAATATTACTATATTTGACTATAAACTTAGTCAAACTTGAAACAGTTTGACTTTGACCAAAGTCAAACTGAGGGCTAGGAAAAAAAATCACATAAACCCCTAGAATGACAAGAAACTGAAATAACCCAGAGAGATATGACTACGTGAGATAAACAGACCATCAATAATTCCGTCCTCCTTTTGTATTCCTTGTCCTTGTGGGAGGGAGAAGTTACTTCTTCTGAATTTTCTCTTCTTTATAATGGGCCTGTTTGGAGAACTATCCCAGGGATATTTTTTGGGCTAAAGATTATCCCACCAAAATAGCCCCCTAACAAAATAGCCCTCTTGCTGTTTGGATCCAAAGGCTATTTAGCTATTATTGTACCATCCCAATCATTTGCCTCCACTAAAAGTATACAGCAGCCGGATCTTCTATGGCTAATCCAATACAGGCACATACAAGCATACACAATTCCTTACAAGCACAAACACATAATTTGTCTCAAATATATAAGCAAGTATGTAAAACAATCGTGTCACATAAAAGATACAATTCCATACAACAATCGTCTCACATAAATATACAATTACATAAAACAATTGTCTCACATAAATATTAAAATCCATACAACAATTGTCTCACATAAATATTAAAGTCCATACAACAATTGTCTCACATAAATATTAAAGTCCACACAACAATTGTCTCACATAAATATACAAGTCCTCAAACCGTAAAAAAAAATTACAATCCATTAAACAAAGCATTTGCCAAGTCATCGCGGAAGAAATTCATGTTGCTATCCTCAACAAGAGGTTCATCTTCTGGCCAGTTAGAGTGAGGTGATGTAGGCATTGGAAAATAATCTGCATCCGCATCCAGCTCCTTCCTCGCCGCCACCCTGGAGGAAGGCACCGTACTCGTGGAGGTGAGGGAACTCCTGGCCCGACGCCGCCTGGGTGTTGAGGTCCAGCGTGTCCACGCCGGCGCGGGGAACGGATCCGTGGGAAGGGCCGGACGCCGACGGCTGCGACGACCAAATGTTGCCGGCGGCGGACGAAATGGGATCTTGGGAGAAGAAATCGAAGCCGTTGGGGTCCATCTCCGCGCGGATCCGGTGCAAGGCGATGCGTCGACGACGGATCTGATGGCCGGCAACGCGGGTGGGGTGAGTCGCCGGCGTGGATGCCTCTCGGTGGATCTGAAGGAAGGGCGGCGCGATTCGAGGGAGAGGGCGGTGCGGGTGAAGGGCCGGGCGGCGGCGCGGGTGGGGGGAGGGGGAGGCGAAGCTGGGGCCGGGCGGCGGCGCGGGTGGGGGGAGGGGGAGGCGAAGCTGGGGCCGGGCGGCGGCGCGGGTGGGGGGAGGGGGAGGCGAAGCTGGGCCGGGCGGCGGCGAGGGTTCTGGAGAGCGAGCGAGGGCGAGAGCGAGGGGTGAGAGCGACGATTTCTGCCGCAACTGGATCCGGCACAAGTGGGGGAAAGTGGGAATCGGTGGGGCCCACAGCAAATAGCCCCAATTAGCACCCCTGGGGGTGATAATTTTTTGGGGTGGGCTATTTGCAAATGGCCCTAAAATAGCTCTCATGTTTGGATCCCCTTGAGCTATTTTAAGGCTAAAAGGGGTGGGCTAAAAAAAATCCATAGGATCCAAACACCCCCAATGTTTTGGTTTAGGCCCAAAGCCTCAAATTAGCTAGGCCATCTAACTGGATTATGCTAGCTTAAACAGTTTTATCAACAGAGATCTACCTGGTCCAAACTTGCTTCTTATCTAGCCAGATTAGCCTCGCAACTGAACACACTAAATCAATTTTTGCATGTTGCTTAACAGGCTCCAGTTTTGGTTTTTATCGTTTTAATCACTTCCCTGTTGAGAACACTGTATGGAATGGAAACCAAGTTGATTCTGTCCATGCATCCTGCAGGCTGCCTGGCAAACACCACACACCACTCACCGGTGCAACCCGCAAGTGCAGCCGTGTGCAGGTGGAAGACGAACAGTATTAGGGGAGCTTAAGATTTTGAAAATCAGTTGGTGAGAAGCTCACGGGTGAGAATCTGGAGACTTTAATTCATTTTTTGAATTCTAAAACTATAACTTCTCAAAATCAGAGTGAAAATTTGGACTGTTTGGGGAAAGCTTTTGGTATCTGCAGATTCCAGAAAAATCTCTAGCTGCGAGAAGCTCTCCCAAACAGGCTCAAAACCCGCAGTTAGCTAGCGTGCGCCAAGCCCCTCCTACATTCCGGTGCGCGCGCGCCAGCGCCCGGAGCCCACCGCGAGTCGTCGAATGTGCGCAGAGCCCCGTCCCTTTCGTCCGATCCCTCGGCGACTTGCTTCCCCGGCCGGCAGCCTACTCATCATGCACGAACCCATCGCCCCAAAAAAGAGCCGCGCATCGTGCGCAGCATAATCATAGCTATCGCTGAAACGCCTGCACCTTCCCCTCCTCCTCCATTCGCTTACCTCGCCATTGACATCGCATCAGCTCTTCTCCATCTGTATCTGTCCGTTTTTCTTTCATCCATCTCCGTCTTTTCGTGCAACTCTCCAGCTTCAGCTTCAGTGCCTTCTCTCTACCAAGTACGTGAAGAAGAGCTTCATCTATGCCTCTACTAGATCAGAGATGCTAGCTAGCGCTCTAGCTAGCTGCTAGCAAGGAGCGCACCAGCAAGGGCACCACCACTGGCTTAAGTACATGGCTTTAGGGGAGAGGGCGAGGGCGAGGGCTCCTCCCATGGTCGTGCGGCGCACGGCCGTCCTCCTCCTCCTCCTACATCTCGTGTTCGTCATCGCCGCAGCGGCTGCCGCGGTGGATAGGCGTCGGCCAGCCGAGGCGATCGTCGGCGGGTGGCGGCAGCGGCGGCGGCTCCAGGCTCTGATGCAGGAGAAGGCCACGCTGCTGGCCTTGAAGCGGGGCCTCACGTTGCTGTCGCCGAAGCTGCTTGCTGATTGGAACGACTCCAACACCGACGTGTGCGGCTTCACCGGCGTCGCCTGCGACCGGAGGCGGCAGCACGTCGTCGGCCTTCAGCTCTCCAACATGAGCATCAACGGCTCCATCCCGCTGGCGCTCGCCCAGCTGCCGCACCTCCGGTACCTCGACCTGTCCGACAACCACATCTCCGGCGCCGTCCCCTCATTCCTCAGCAACCTCACGCAACTCCTGATGCTCGACATGTCCGAGAATCAACTCTCCGGCGCCATCCCGCCGTCTTTCGGCAACCTCACGCAACTCCGGAAGCTCGACATATCGAAAAACCAGCTCTCCGGCGCCATCCCGCCGTCCTTCGGCAACCTCACGAACCTCGAGATCCTTGATATGTCCATCAATGTTCTCACAGGCCGAATCCCAGAAGAGCTCTCCAACATCGGCAAGCTCGAAGGCCTCAACCTCGGCCAGAACAACCTCGTCGGCAGCATACCGGCGTCATTCACCCAGCTGAAGAACTTGTTCTACCTCAGCCTCGAGAAGAACTCCTTGTCAGGTTCTATCCCCGCCACGATCTTCACAAATTGCACGCAAATGGGTGTATTCGACCTCGGCGACAACAACATCACCGGCGAGATCCCCGGCGACGCCTCGGATAGCCTTTCCGACAGGTTCGCCGTCCTTAATCTCTACTCCAACAGCCTCACCGGGAGGCTTCCGCGGTGGCTCGCCAACTGCACTATTCTCTACCTGCTGGACGTGGAGAATAACTCGCTCGCCGACGATCTGCCGACCTCCATCATCTCCGGCTTGCGCAACCTCAGGTACCTGCATTTGTCGAACAACGTCCATTTCGCGAGCGGCGACGGCAACACCAACCTGGGGCCCTTCTTCGCCGCGGTGTCGAACTGCACCAGCATACTGCAGATCGAGGCCGGAGCACTGGGCATCGGCGGGCGGCTGCCGAGCTTGCTCGGCTCGCTGCTGCCGCCTAACATGTCACACCTCAACCTGGAGCTCAACGCCATCGAAGGCCCGATCCCCGCCGACATCGGCGACGTGATAAACATCACGCTGATGAACCTGTCGAGCAACCTGCTCAACGGGACGATCCCGACGTCCATCTGCTGGCTGCCGAATCTGCAGCAGCTCGACCTGTCCCGCAACTCGCTCACCGGCGCCGTGCCGGCGTGCATCAGCAACGCCACGAGCCTCGGCGAGCTGGACCTGTCGAGCAACGCGCTGTCGGGGAGCATCCCGAGCAGCATCGGCAGCCTGAAGCTGTCCTACCTCTCCCTGCACAGGAACCAGCTGTCCGGCGAGATACCGGCGAGCCTCGGCCAGCATCTCGGCATTGTGCGGCTCGACCTCTCCAGCAACCGGCTGACCGGCGAGATACCTGACGCCGTCGCCGGCATTGTCCAGATGTCGCTGAACCTCTCTCGAAACCTGCTCGGCGGCCGGCTGCCGAGGGGGCTCAGCAGGCTGCAGATGGCGGAGGTCATCGACCTGTCATGGAACAATCTCACCGGCGCGATCTTCCCGGAGCTCGGCGCCTGCGCCGAGCTGCAGGTCCTCGACCTGTCGCACAACTCGCTCACCGGCGTCCTCCCGTCGTCGCTCGACGGCCTCGAGAGCATCGAGCGCCTCGACGTCTCCGACAACTCCCTCACCGGCGAGATCCCGCAGACCCTGACCAAATGCACGACGCTCACCTACCTCAACCTGTCGTACAACGACCTCGCCGGCGTCGTGCCCACCGCCGGCGTCTTCGCCAACTTCACCTCGACGTCATACCTCGGCAACCCGCGGCTCTGCGGCGCCGTGCTCGGGCGCCGCTGCGGGAGGCGACACCGGTGGTACCAGTCCCGGAAGTTCCTGGTCGTGATGTGCATCTGCGCCGCCGTGCTGGCGTTCGTGCTGACGATCCTCTGCGCGGTCAGCATCCGGAAGATCCGGGAGCGGCTGGCGGCGGTGCGGGAGGAGTTCAGGAGGGGCCGACGCCGCGGCGGCGGCGGCTCGTCGCCGGTGATGAAGTACAAGTTCCCGCGGATCACGTACCGGGAGCTGGTCGAGGCGACGGAGGAGTTCAGCCCAGACCGGCTCATCGGCACGGGCAGCTACGGCCGCGTGTACCGCGGCACGCTGCGCGACGGCACCATGGTCGCCGTGAAGGTGCTCCAGCTGCAGTCCGGGAACTCCACCAAGAGCTTCAACCGCGAGTGCCAGGTGCTGAAGCGCATCCGCCACCGGAACCTCATGCGGATCGTCACGGCGTGCAGCCTGCCGGACTTCAAGGCGCTGGTGCTGCCGTTCATGGCGAACGGCAGCCTCGAGCGGTGCCTCTACGCGGGGCCGCCGGCCGGCGAGCTGAGCCTCGTGCAGCGCGTCAACATCTGCAGCGACATCGCCGAGGGGATGGCCTACCTGCACCACCACTCCCCGGTCAAGGTCATCCACTGCGACCTCAAGCCCAGCAACGTGCTCATCAACGACGACATGACCGCTCTCGTCTCCGACTTCGGCATCTCCCGCCTCGTCATGAGCGTCGGCGGCGTCGCCAACGCCGCCGACGTCGGCGCCTCCACCGCCAACATGCTCTGCGGCTCCATCGGATACATTCCTCCAGGTAAATTAACCATCATCATCAAGCAAACTCATCATCATTTTTCTCGTGACAAATTCTAATTAATCGATTCGATTCTGAAGAGTACGGGTATGGCTCGAACCCGACGACGAAGGGCGACGTGTACAGCTTCGGCGTGCTGGTGCTGGAGATGGTGACGAGGAAGAAACCGATCGACGACATGTTCGACGCGGGGCTGAGCTTGCACAAGTGGGTGAAGAACCACTACCACGGCCGGGCCGACGCGGTGGTCGACCCGGCTCTGGCGCGCATGGTGCGGGACCAGACGCCGGAGGTCAGGAGGATGTCCGACGTGGCCATCGGCGAGCTGCTGGAGCTCGGCATCCTCTGCACGCAGGAGAGCGCGGCCGTGCGCCCGACCATGATGGACGCCGCCGACGACCTGGACCGGCTCAAGCGGTACATCGGCGGTGAGACCACGGCCACGTTCGCGTCGTCGCTGGGCTTCTCATCCTCAACATTTGAAGATCTCGACGACTAGCAGCAGGCAGCAGCATCTCCTAAGGACGCATATGAATCATGCATGATGTGTAAATAGCTAGGAATTTAGCTAAGAGGCAGGAAGATTATTTGTCAGGAAATTAAAGAAGTGTGCAATTTGTGCAGAAATATTGCGAGATTTATAGGATTCTTTGGAAGTATCTGATTAAATTTTGATGGAGTGATATCTTCGGTTATAGATATCGATAAATACATTAATCCCAGTGTGTAGCTGATTCAGTCGTATTGCTTATGCATGCTCTTCCTTCCTATCTCTGCGTCTGTTCAAACTGTATATGCTGCCTGAAGAACATGAACTCTAGACAACCATGCTAAATTGACTCTAGCTTAGCAAGAAACTGCAGTGTAATTAAATGAGAAGCAAAATTGCGAAAAGGTCGACTGAAAAAAAATCTAATAGCTTTGACACCTTTCTTCTTAGGCTTTACAAAGAGGGTTAGGTCATGAATGACATGGTGTAGCTGCACATAAAATTTTCAGACCAAAATCTGGTCTATATGACTCTAAGCTCATTTATTAAGGAATAGGCTGGTGACAAAGCTGGTTATTGGAAAATTGTACACGCATCGTTGAGGTAAACCGAGCGTGCGATATGAGCACGTTTGAGGATGTGCTGTGCACTGGCAAACTAGCAATGCCTAAAATGGACCAGTCTAGCAAATATAATAGAGGGCAATAGCATGATCTTGCATACTATGCGGTTATGCAGATTATGCATATCATTGTTGCGCTCTTATCCAAATATTAGTCTACTAATGTTCCACTGATGAGGATTCTCATTGGATATTGTTAAAGGCTTTTTTTAGCATGTTCAGAGCAAGTTTAATAGTATAACCAATTACTAGATCCAATTCATCTATAGCCAATCTAATAGCTCATTCATACAATAGTTACATATATACTACACTATTAATATCCGATCCCACCTATCATACACACACTGTATTTTGGAGTCCGTGCTACAGCTGGCTACAAATCTATAGCCCGCTGCCCTTCTCTCTCCTCATTTATCTGCTTAAAATATGTTTACAGCTGGCTTATAGCCTGCTATTGTATATGCTCTCAGAGCGAAACCGATCATTGCCGAAACTTCTATCTACATTTTCCGGTGGCAAAGCATATTTTTGATAAACTTTACAAAAATATTGTATACTCGTCTTCTCTGCAGGATACTCTGTGACACTATATAATTCACTATATTTTCTGTCTTTCTTCCACAATGGCGGTCTACAAAGGTATTGTCCATGATATTTTGTTGTAAGATCCACTTCACCACATAAGCTATCTAGCATGCTATCGTCTGTTTTTTTTGTCCCAAAATAAGTGTTTTTAGACTTGTTCCAAAATAAGATTTTTTTTTACTTCTTAACTATCTCCGTTTTATAAATTAAGAAGTTTTATCCCAATACACCTTACCTTCCCATCCTCTATTACCATTTCTATTAATTAGATCCACTTTGATTTTTTCCTCACTACAAAGTTTTCACCAGATATAAGGATCCATTTATTTTAAGACAAAGAGTACATGGTATCGTGAGTATCCACTAACAAAAAGGACATATACACCATGGTCCATTCCATATGCAAAACTTTCCAATCCCATCATAAATTCAGAATTCAAGATCCACTAGAGAATGAAAATTTGGCAATTGAACCCTTTTTAAAATCTTAATATAAGAACAGATCATGTCAAAACTTATTTCAGTAATAAACCGTAACTTGAATACACATAGTATAATAACGCCAAAGTACAACATCTCAGCCAAAAAGGGTATGTTGCTACGAACATCGACACACTGGTGCGAAATTCCCATCAGCAAGGGCACCAAGGTAAATTGTGTTGACCTTATTTATAGGTTAAATAGGTGATAAAGAATAACCGTGGAAAATCTTATCAATCAATCAATCATCAATCCTTCTCAAGCCGGCAATTTTACGGATGCAGGTCGTTTGCAACTGACATGTGGGCCCCACAGCCCCTCGGACCCACATGTCAGTGAACATTACTGTAAGGGATCTCAATTGCAATTTTACCGGATGTTGATTGGTCCACGTGGCGTGCCAACGTTTAAGATAAATCCAGGAGTAATGAGGATTAAAAAAATGCTAGGATATGTAAAAGGAGATTAATGAATAGAAGTATCTAGAAATATGCAATATTATGTGCATGAAGTGAATGATCTAGATGCATCCAGTCATGTGTGTGAAGTTAAAAACAAAAGGTAAATCCAATCTATATCAACGGGTCTCAGCTTTTAGTATCTGCCTTCTCTGTAACACACACAGACATCAACTAATCTCAAGCTAGCATCAATTGGACCACATGATGTTGTTAAATATTGAGATAAATCAAGCATTTACCGATGGGGGGAAAAAAAAGAAAAACTCACTTGTGTAGGACAAGAAACAGAGAGAGAAGAGGTTAAGATATGAGAAATCTAGAACCTTCTCAAATATAAACTAAAATGGAGAAAGCGAGAGCCTTTAAAAATCTGAACTGCTGTCTTATTCTCCTTCGGTTACTCCAATACAGAAACCAGTAACAAAAATTCACAGGGCAAATTTATTAAAAAAAAATCATAGGAAAATTTAAAAGGAAAGAGGAAAAATTGATGGTAAACACATAGGGGGCCATATAGCGGCGCGCCAAAAGGTACGCTACTTTTCTAGTCTTATCTTATCTTATCTTATCTTATATAGTGAAAGCAGCAAGCTTTTTCACACGAGGATGCGTCACATCAAAAGGTACACATGCAATAAAAAAACAACAAATGGGCGTATGGTAATTTCCAGAGGTTTCTAGTGCCAAGAGAGGGGGCAAAGATAATAAAGAAATAAAAAAACTTGGAGGCTTCTAGTGATTTCTCATATAGCACAACTTAGCTAAATCTATAGTTAGCTTAGACCAATTGATACTTTGTAAATCAATTAACTCATGTTATAACCTTCTATAAACTAATATACCGTATACAAAAGTTATTATATGGGATCAAAAGTCGCGCAGAGCGCAACTACGTGGCTAACATATGGTAAAAATCACATCCTAGGTAGAAACTTGTCGAGGTGTGATCCTCCCTAGCGGGAGGCTGTGAGGCTCCCCTTTGTGAGTTCGGCTAGGGGACCGGGTGCAATGCCAAGGAACGTGTGCTCACGCAAGCGAGGTGGATCCGCGGGGATTGGGCTTATGAGGTGGAAGGCGAGGGATTATACAGGTTCGGGCCGCTATCAAGCGTAATACCCTACTCCTATTTGAGCGATGATCTTTGTGTGGTTACAAAGACTTCAGACCCTGGGAGTACCAGCTAGGGCTTGGCCGGCCTCTTCCCAGAATCCGGCTTTCTAAGAGACGTCCCCTTACTCGTAGGGCATGGTCCTTCTTTTATAGAAGAAGGGGATACCACATGCATCGCCCCTACACTCTCCTCACAGGAAAGGGGCCCACATTGCCTATATTAAAAAGCATCCCATGCCTTGGGCCAGAAGCGATCCATGCAGCTGCCCTTGGGTGGCCCCCACTGAATCCTTTCGTCTGACACGGGGGACATCCCCTGTCATCCCCTATTAAACGTTTGACGACTTTGTGGGCACACGCGCATGGGAGGTGGCGATCTGCATGTCCTCCCCTTGTGCATGATGGGACGGGGCATACCAGCCCCCACGCCGTCTGACACAAAGCGGGACGTGGGTGCGCTGCCACCTATCCCATCCATCCATCACCGGGTCACAGACCGGTCAAAAAGCGGTCGCCAGGCGCACGTCCATCAGTGGGCGGCGCACGACCTGCCACGTCGCATTAAATGCGACGGGGGCGGTTGGAGCGCCGCCCATAAATGCGCCTGGCGAACGGCGCCCTGCCCGCTCAAGCCCCCACATGGCCGTCACGTGGTGGCCGAGCGAGGGCCTCGGGGGCGGTTCATCCCCTCGGGCCCGAGGGGTACGACAAGGTACCCCAAGCCCCCCCCCCCCCCCCGAGGGGGACTGGGCCCGCCGTGCGCGCCGCACAGGAAGAGCTTCCCTTCCCCCTAGTTCAGGTATCCTCGGGCCTATATCACCGACAAAACTTGAAACCTTTTATATATATATAAAAGGTCTTAAAAAAATCTCAAAAAATCACACATGTAAGTAATGTGTAAACAAATAACCCTACAAAGTTGCACGAACAAATTCAACTCCCTTTATGAGATATAAAATTAACAAATCATAGAGGAAAGCCACTATCATCTTTTTCTCCAATGTTTCTCAATTTTATATCTCATAAACGGAATTGAGTTTATTTTTGGAACTTTAAATGGTTGTCTAATATCAACTTAGCTATTTGTGTGATCTCTTTCAAAAGATCAGCTGTTTAGCTGGGAGGGGGTGTAGGATAAAGCTGTCCTATATATGATATCCAAGAATTAAAAAAAAAACACTGGCTAGTAAAGTGTAAAAAAAGAAATGTCACCAAATAGAAACAACAACAAAAATATTGCTGTAGTGTCAAACATGCCTCGTCCACATATATGCACAAACTTCGCGCCACCGCACTAAGCTCTAATTATTGCTCGGATGGCGCTATTACTTTTGTACCTATATAAGTGAGGTCAGCGCCAAGCTTAATAGCGCTAAACCTTACGGATAGGGATTTCGTGCCAATGTGATAATGTTCTAAACGCTAAAAGGTATGTGCGCGGATACATTATACTTCAGCGTCATCCTCGACGATGTTGAATTGTGATTTATTTCTAAAATAATTTCTTGGCACGGTTCTTTTTGTTGTAATAAGTTAAAAAAAACCCTAAATTGTCAAAATTTCGGCCACTAGTTGGGATATTCTGATCTGATCCCTCATCACCGCTAGCAGATCTCTGTAATCTCACCACTGAAGCACTGCTGATCAGCAGCCACCACCACCGGTCACCCCTGCAGGCCTGCAGCTGCTCCAACGGCTTTCCCCCTCCGTCACCCACTCCCTATCCGCCTATCCCATCCCAAAACCTCCTCTCCCCTCCCCCCCCGGCAGCCGCCGCCTCCAAAGTTCTCTGCTTTCGTCACCGCCAGCCTCCCTCCAAGGTAAACCACAGCACCGAATGTGAATCTTGCAGTTCGCGAGCTGACCAGCTGATCTTTTTGTAAAGAATCGTTTGGTCCTGCACCTCGCTGATCGCGGTCTGTTTCGCTGTTTTGCTATGATGCGCAGGTATTGTTCGATCCGGAGTAGTGAGTCTATGCCCTTGTCCGGATCCGAATGGCTGCCCTGCGGATCTGCACGCCGGGTGGTGGTGCTCCGGAGGCCAGAAGAGGCAGTCTTGCTGCTGCCGGGAGCGCGGTTCAGCATGGACCGGATTTGATCGGGTTCAGTTCTTGGGTGCTGCCAATCAGCGCCGGATATGCCGTGGACCGGAGGCACGCAGCAGCTGGTGGAGTTGCCGCATGCCATGGGCTCTCGTGTGCTGACAGTGGGAGGAGGAAGAATCATCCCAGGGCAAGTCTGGTGAATGGTGTGGTTTCATCTCTGGAGGACAGTAGCGGCGGGGAGCCTGCGCTATGCGTATCTGATTCACCTGAAGACGCTAGCTCCAGTGGAAAAGTGTTGTCCGATTTGCGTCGGGACATGGTGGATGGTATTAGTGGTATTCCAAGAATTTCTGCGGGAAAGAAGAAGGGGATGAAGTTCAGGAGAAGAGGGCAGGGTGGAAATAGATTGACACGGCGTAGTGCTCCGAGGCGTGCCAGTGGAAAGAGTGGGCAAGATCAGAGGATTTTGTTGAGCGAGGATGATATTGCTGCAATTTTGTCCAGTGTTACCCATGAATCTAGCATCGAGGAGTGCAATTCTGTTCTCATCTGTCTCGAGAAGCATAGTGATAAGACAGCTCTTGGTTTCTTTGAGTGGATGAAGGCTAATGGAAAGCTGAAGGGAAATGCTGAGGCGTATCACCTAGCGCTTCAAGCGATCGCCTGGAAGGAGGATTGGGAAGCAGCTGGACAGTTGCTTCATGAAATGGTTGCTGATTCGGGTTGCGCTCTGGATGCTCAAGCATTTAATGGGCTTATATATGTTTGTGCCAAACGGAGGCTTGTTGACTGGGGAACAAAGTGGCTTCATATGATGCTTGAAAGAGATGTGCAGCCGAATGTGTCTACAGTTGGTATGCTTATGGGACTTTACCAGAGGATTGGGAACCTTCCAGAAGCTGAATTCACTTTTGCTAAAATGAGGAAATGTGGCATTAAGTGTGTTAATGCCTACTCAGCTATGGTTACTTTGTATACACGGTTAGGCCATTTTGCCAAATCTGAGGAGGTTATTACTCTAATGAATAATGATGAAGTAGTTCCGAACATGGAAAATTGGTTAGTGCGGCTAAATGCTTATTGTCAACAAGGCAAAATGGAAGAAGCTGAATTGGTATTGAAGTCCTTGGTAGATGAAGGAATTGCTCTGAATGTTGTGGCATACAATACGGTAATTACAGGTTATGGAAAAGTTTCTGACATGCAGAAGGCAATGGAAGTGTTTGATAGGCTTAAGAGTGCAGGTTTAGCTCCTGATGAAACAACCTATAGATCAATGATTGAAGGTTTTGGTAGAGCAGACAAATACAAACAGGCAATTTTGTACTACAGGAAACTCCGAAACTCTGGATTTAAACCAAATGCATCCAACTTTTACACAATGATTAACTTGCTAGCAAGACATGATGACAGTGAAGGTGCAACAGAGATTCTCGAGGACATGCGGGCAGCAGGCTGCCAGTGTTCATCGATTGTCACTGTTCTTGTCCGAGCATATGGGTCAGTAGGAAGGATGCATAAAGTTCTTCAGATTCTAAAAGCATGCTTCTATAAGAAGATTTTGTTTGATGCCACCTCATGCTCTATTTTAGTAACAGGATTCGTTCAAAATTCTCTAGTAGAAGAAGCTATGCGTGTTTTGCGCGAAAAGAAGTGGAAAGATTCTGATTTTGAAGACAATTTATATCATATCTTGATCTGTTCTTGCAAAGAGGCTGGCTGTTGTGATGATGCTGTCAGGATATATAATCAGATGCCTAAGTCGGCAACACATCCAAATCTGCGTATTTATTGCAGTATGATTGATGTTTTCAGCATCATGGAGAGATTCACTGATGCTGAAGCTTTATATCTTGAACTGAAAGCATCATCCTGTGTTCTTGACATGATTGCCTACAGCGTAATTGTGAGGATGTATACTAAAGCTGGGCGACCAGAAGATGCCTGTTTGGTTTTGGAAGACATGGAGAAACAAAAGGAAATAGTTCCTGATAAGTACCTTTTCCTTGACATGCTTCGGACTTACCAAAAATGTGGCCTACTCGAGAAATTATCTGATACATATTACTGGATACTAAAGAGTCAAGTTGAATTGGATGAAGCCATGTACAACTGCATTATAAACTGTTGTGGGCGGGCAATACCGGTTGATGAGCTCTCAAGAATTTTTGATGAAATGATTCAACAAGGGCACTTGGCCAACACTGTTACCCTCAATGTATTGCTAGACATATATGGAAAAGCCGGGCTTTTTAATAAGGCAGAAAAGGTATTTCTCATGGCTCGCAAGCAGGGTATGGCAGATATCATATCATACAATACCATTATTGCCGCGCATGCAAAAAATGGGGATTTTCGTAGCATGATTTATTTCGTCCAGAGGATGCAAGAGGCAGGGTTCCCTGTTTCTCTGGAGGCGTACAACTGTATGCTGGATGCTTACGGTAAGGCAGGACAGTTGGAGGAGTTTGCTGCTGTTCTGCAAAAAATGGAGAGAGCAGGATGCGAGTTTGATCACTATACTTACAACATTATGATCAATATATACGGGAGAAAGGGTTGGATCGAAGGAGTTGCAAACGTTCTTGCGGAGCTAAAGAGCCGTGGTGGCGAGCCAGATCTGTACAGTTACAACACCTTGATAAAAGCATACGGGATAGCAGGAATGCCTGAAGATGCTGTTAAACTGATGCAGGAGATGAGGATTAAAGGCATTGCCGCTGACCGAGTAACCTATACTAACCTTATAGCTGCTCTACAGAGGAATGAGAATTTCCTGGAAGCAGTTAAGTGGTCTCTCTGGATGAAGCAAACTGGAGTTGCTGCAACTCGAACATGATGTGCCTAAGAATTCAGAGTTTTGGTTGCATGCAAATTCTGGCATCCGCACACGTTTATATTTCATCTTTCAGTAGAGTACATACATACATGTGAGTGACATTGTACAGAGAACTATTTCTGATTGTTCTACACATCCTATGGGTACCGGAGATTCAGAAAAACCTCCTACCTTTCCATTCTCTTACAAGATGAAACTCAATCAGTGGATAGCAAGATAGGAACTTTTATCATACCAATCATACAATTGTAATTTTTTTACCAGAACTGGTTTGAACTTCTGATAATAATGATCAAAGATTCATTGAGAAACCCAAGTTCAATGTCCATTGTACCCTCTCATGTCTGTCAATCTGTCATTGTAAAATCTGTGCGCTTTCTGCGATCTCAATTCAGGCAACTTTTCCCGCTTGATTTTGACGTACCTGACCAAATGTTTTCGGTCAGTTTGTAGTTGTATGGCCTTGTTTAGTTACCCAAAATTTTTTCTCAAAACATCACATCGGATCTTCGTATACATGCATGGAGCATTAAATATAGATAAAAATAAAAATTAATTGTACAGTTAGGAGGAAATCGCAAGACAAATTTTTTAGCCTAATTAGTTCATAATTAGCCATAAGTGCTACAGTAACCTATATATGCTAATGACGGATTAATTAGGCTCAAAAGATTCGACTCGCCGTTTCCAGGCGAGTTATGAAATTAGTTTTTTCATTTGTGTCCGAAAACCCCTTTCAACATCCAGTTAAACATTCGATGTAACACCTAAAATTTTTTCTTTTTACGAAAGACCCGATCTCCAAATTTCAACCTTTCGTAGTACTACTAAACGGTCAAAAAAAAGATGTGACGGCAATTCCACTTCCTTTGACTATCCATACTAAAAAGTCAAAAAAAAATTTGCCGAAAATGTCAGCAACACCTCGTCGCCTCCATGCCTTTTAGTCAACGCCTCGCCTTGTTCAGATGCAGCAGGTGAGGTGAGAGCTCCACCTCCCGGAGCTCGAGGCTTCCCCGGTGAACACCTCCTCCCGGACAAATAAACTAATCCAAATGCCGACCTCGCTTCCGGTGCTCGAGCTCATCGGCGAGGCGTCCGCACGTGCGCCAAGAACCCCTCATGAGCAGGTGAGGTGATCCTTCAAGAAACCAGCAAAAGAAATCCAAGGTCAATGCCGGAAGAACAACAAGAAGCGGAAGAGGGGATCGCCGGCGGCGGCGGCGGATGGGCGAGCACGGCGCTGCAGCCGGTGCGGTGGCTGCGGATGCTGTGCCGGGAGCTGGGCGCGACGTTCGTCGCCGGCGTGGTGCTGGTGTACGGGCTGAGCCAGGGGTTCGCCGGGTCCTTCTTCCGCGTGGCGTCGGACTACTACTGGAAGGACGTGCAGCGGGTGCAGCCGGCCACCGTGCAGCTCCTCTCCGCCGTCTTCTTCATCCCCTGGGTCCTCAAGCCCCTCTGGGGGATCATGACCGACGTCTTCCCCGTCCGCGGCTACCGCCGCCGCCCCTACTTCCTCTTCGCAGGTCAGCCACTGGAATCCTGCATCTCAAAATGATGAGATTGATGATCTTTAGTTGGCGTGCATAGATAGTAGAGATTAGAGAATCTTATCAGTAGATAGAGTATGCGCACAGTTAAAGAACAAAAAAATTTGTGAAGATTTTAGCAATATGCTTGCTGGTAAGAACATCCTGAATTCCTCCTGTGTCCATAATGTCGTAGAAATTTTAGTTGTGGTGGCATATTTGGTACTCCCTCCGTCCCATAATATAAGAACCTAGTCTGGGACCCTAGGTTCTTATATTATGGGACGGAGGGAGTATTTGGTAGGCATAGTAAGTTCTTAAATGATATTTGGGGTCTGATGTGGTGGTAATTGAAAACATAGTGCTAGTTCAGCTTTTTCAAAAGGTTCAGGGGGTTGCTGGGGGTAGAGAATTGATAACACAACGAGTGCTTGGTGATAGTACATACTTTTAGACTTTGTAGAGAGAGGTTGAGTGGAGACTGGAGAGGTAGTTCCAGGCACGAGCAGGAACTGTTTATGCTAGGTATCAGCAGCTCATTGGATGGAATTGGGGATGAAGATGTGTTGGTTCAACTACCATGTGGATTTCGTTTGGGACTTTGGATATTTGATGATATATGCATTGTTTATTGGAGGTCTAGCCAGATCTTAATTAGTAGGTGCAAGATTTGGTGTAAGATGTTATCTTGCCAATTCTTAGAACAATTGAAGTATCAATGTGATGTATCTGTGATATTGCACTTTACAAATTGCTGGGCATGATCATTTTAACAATTCCTTGCTGTAGTAAGTTTTTAAAGTGAGTCTGAGAAAGTAGCAAACATGGAACATATTGATCAGAAACTTATATGTTACATTTTGTCGATTTCTACAGCAGTTATAAACTTGACAAATAAATCCCATTTATTTCTGGTGCTGACAGGAGTACTTGGAACGGCTTCAGCTGCTATTGTTACCATGGTTAATGGACTACCGATGACTTCCGCTATACTTTCCTTTGTGGGGATATCAACAGCAGTTGCCATAGCAGATGTTACAATAGATGCATGCATTGCGAAGAATGGTATTGATAAGCCATCATTAGTCCCAGACATGCAAAGCCTTTGTGCATTCTCATCATCTCTAGGTGCACTTATTGGGTATGCTACAAGTGGAATGTTTGTCCACCATCTTGGGGCACAGGTCAATTACAGCCTAAATTCTTGAAGCTTATTGAATTGCCAAGTTCCATTTTTTGGTATGTTGCTTCATTGATAATTTAAATTTTGTATGATTCTTTTTGTAGGGTGCATTAGGTGTGATGGCTTTACCTCCTGCAACGTTGGTTTTTCTAGGATTTTTCATATATGAGCTGAAAATGTATCAGCATAATGTGAAAGAGAAGGTATGCCGAAGTGAAAAGCAATATTGTTCTATCTACTTGTGACAGTTTTATTTGTGTGCATTGAAATTTTGTTCCCTTTACTTGTGACATTTTTTATTTGCCTGCATTGAAATTTTGTTCCATTTAATTATGATATTTTTTTGTTTGCCTGCATTGAAATTTACCAAGTTTTGAATATCAATATATATTTTTGGTGTCTTCATATGGTCGTACAGATAGAGGATGGTTTATCTGATATCGCTGCATGCCACTTGGCTTAGCCAAGCTGAGACGAGTGGCTTGTGTATTGTTCTTCTGAGATGTGTAACATATTAGCAAAGTTCACAATAAAATGAAACTGATGCTTCAGTGACTGAGATTCATCACAGGTCTTGTTAAAGCAACTAAGACCTTTACGGATTGAATCCCAAGTAAACACAGACAGTGAACTCAATAGGCTGTAAAGCATAGGCAGAAACCAAGTATATCTTAATATATGGTATAACAATGAAAGAAATACACAATATATAGTTTCTCACCAAGATGCTAATGTGCAGGTTTTGAATAAGGTTCATATGGCAGTGAAAGGGATGGCTCAGACAATAAAGTACCCAGTAGTGTGGAAGCCATCCCTGTACATGTTTCTTTCCCTGGCGCTTAGTATCAGCACTCATGAGGGACAGTTCTACTGGTATACTAGCAAGGAACCACCTAATCCTGGATTTTCTCAGGTAAATGTTTTTGTTTTTTACCTGCCTGCTTAATCCTATCGCTGATTAGCATATTTGTTGGATAAAAGGCCTAATCCAAGTCCATATTGGAAGTTTGAAACAATAGCACATGGTTTTGGACTGGAAAACCAAGTTTACAATGTGCCCCCAAGTACTCTTCTTTTTGCTCTCAACACTTCTACACATAATACAGAAGTACAAAACACAGGGACATCATAGGCATACAGATGTTCTTTAAAACAGCAACTACCTTCATTTCTTCTCAAGTTCATATCATGTCTTTATGATGCTACCTTTTTTTTTCTCAGGGTTTGTTTATACTTGTCAATAAGATAATACAAGTGAGGTGCAATAGGATATGTTGAATTGGTCCTACACACTAATCACCAATCACTTTCAAGCAACAGAAAATAACACAATCAAGGTATATCAGGAAGGAAACCTAGACAAAAGTGTGCCCTTTCCTTCAAACTGGGAATCTAGTATGCACTCACACGGGTTATGTCCCCACAATCTTGCTTGGTCCACAATGCTGTCCTCACTGTCTGTAACAGATGCCTTATATAAGATAGACTATGTTATCCCAAAAATATTTCTTCACCTTATCTCAGAATCTAAGCCTGGCACATAACAATTAGTCCTAATCTCCATGATCTAAGAGCTTATAATGAATAGATAGTACACAATCTCCATGTTCAAGCGTTACATGGAAACTTTACAATGGCATTGTTCCTTAAAGCTTAGGCAGTCAGGCCCCATTTGGAGAGCTGGGTTTTCTCCAGATTCCTAGACATTTATACAAATATAAAGTCAGGGCATGATGAGTATGTTTTGTGAATAGCGAAAGCAAATGCATAAAGCATCCCTCACAAAGGATAAAAGAAGACTGTTGATCATGAAAAATTCACACTTGTTATAGGGTGAATGGAGATTAGCATCAGTAGTTCAATCCCTTCTGATATAGTAATTATCTTGCTTAATCTAAAGGAATCTGATCTAATCCCTTTCTATCAGACAAGTTCTAAGGGTATCATAAGTGTAAATTAAACAATGAAAAAAGACGCATGTACAAAAAAGATTCTTACAAACAGTTTACAAGTAGTAGTCTGGGATAAGATCAATTGTGGTCATAGTTTACTGCGGCATAATATTTGTTGTCATCTCTTCCCTCCTTTTTTTTTTCTTTTTTAATGAACATAAGCTATGTACTTCCTAGTTATACAGAAGCATTCTTAAAATAATTGTATTGATATAATTATCTAAGATCAATAGATCTTCCTTTATCTTAAAAAGACATAAACAGTTTCCACATATTTCTTTTTTCACTTAATCTAACCAGTTTTTGTTAAACAAGTGCTAACTGCTAAGGGCGTCATAAGAGTAAATTAAATTAAACAATGGAAAAGGACGCATGTACAACAAGATTCTTACGAACAGTTTACAAGTAGTAGTTTGGGATAAGATCAATTGTGGTCATAGTTTACTGCTGCCTAATATTTGTTGTCAAAATTTCCCAATTCTTTTTCTTTTTAATAATCATAAGCTATGTGCATCCTACTTATACAGAAATGTTCTTAACGATACGATTATCTAAGATCAATAAAGCTTTCCTTCATCTGAAAAGATACAAACAGCTTACAAAGATTTCTTTTTCGGCTTAATCCAACCGCATTTTGTTAAACAGGTGCTAAGGGTGTCAATAATGGATTGAGATCCTCTGACGTAAAGTCAGTGGAACATGGTGATTGACATGTGGGCCCCACCGCTCTTGGGCCCACCTGTCAGTGACCACATCCAGGGGCGAAGCCACGTGTAGGGCAACTTGGGCTTGGGCCCCACACGTGGCAAAAATTTTTAATGGAGAAACACTGAAATTTACGTAGAATTTGCACACAAAATTTATAGTTATATGGTTTAGCCCTACTCTTGCTAAAATGCTGCCTCCGCCCCTGACCACGTCAGGGGGTAACTTTACGTCAGAGGATCCGTTTCCGTCAATAATGTTGTCACAAGATTAAAAATAGTACTCATCCCATTGCATATGCAGGAATTTGTTGGTATGGTCCATGCCATCGGCGCAGTTGCATCCATGGTGGGCGTCCTGGTGTACCACAAGTACCTCAAGGACTACCCTTTCCGGAGCATCCTCTTCTACGCGCAGCTGCTGTACGGCGTCTCCGGCCTCCTCGACCTCACCTTCGTGCTCCGGTGGAACCTCCTCCTCGGCGTGCCCGACGCCGCCTTCGTCACCCTGGAGGAGTGCTGCGCCCGCGTCGTCGGCCGCGTCAGGCTGATGCCGATGATGGTGCTCAGCACCAAGCTGTGCCCGCCGGGCGCCGAGGGCACCTTCTTCGCGCTGCTCATGTGCATCGACAGCGCCGGCATGCTGGCGGCCAAGGCCGGCGGCGCCGCCGTGCTGCGCGCGCTCCGGGTGACCAGGACCGACTTCGCCCGCCTCTGGCTCGCCGTCCTCGTCAGGAACCTGCTCCGGCTGTCCACGCTCGCCGCCATCTCGCTCGTCCCCACGGCCGACCAGACCGACGTGCTCCTGCCGCGCGACCTCCTCGCCGTCGCCGGCGACGGCTCTCCTCCCGCCGCCGGCGACGGCGACGACGAGGAGAGGCTGCAGCTCGCGAAATTCGCTGATCACGTCGACGACGACGACGACGACGACTGAACATAGTTGATCATACGACATTGTTGCAGCGCGTTCTTGCATGCATCCTGTCACTGTCAGGTGAGGATGCAGCTATAGTAGCTCTGATCAATCGATCAGATAGATTCGTTGATTCGTTCATGGCGAGCGCATGCATGTCTCTGATGAGACGTTGCCAGGTGACAGAAATGGCATCTCTCTCTGTACGGGCAACCCGGAGTGGAAAGATGAGCTGGGATGTACGGATTCTGTTTTCTGTTCAGTTTGGTTAGCATAGGAGGATTCTACAGAGAAAAAAAAAAAAGGGAGAATTTGAACCATGCCACACAAATTTTACAAAATTTGTGATATGCCACCCTGACCCACATGTTATTGACTCATGTGGGTCTTATATGTCATTGAGATACGGGTGGTATATCTCAAATTTATAAATATAGGGTGGCATGGTTCCAACAAACCCAAAAAAAAAAATGAAGTGATACTAAACTCTGGATTTGTTTTAGAAAAGATGCTGAACTTTGGGTTCTATCTCAGGTTGCAGTACATCTCTACTTTATAAGTAAGTTATAACAACTGGGAATATATATAGTAGACTATATACACAGATTTGTTATTCATTGATCGTCTGATTTCTTGCTCATCCTTACTTGATATCCTCATCATGGAATGCTTTCTAAGGTTCGTGCTCTGTTGGCTTTCTAGGTTTCTCCGGCAACGGTGGCAATGGTGGCCATCTCCTGTTTGAAAGTGATGATTGGCTGATGAAATGAAATGGGACGACTCACTTAATTAACGTGATACATTAATATTTTAAAAGATAATTAATTAATAACTAGGAACAAGCGGATGGAAAATAAGTAGAAAAACATATTTTATAGGCATGAAGTAAATAATCCATAAATAATACGAGCCAATAATCTGCCGAAAAAAAGTTCCGAACTAGCCATATATAGGCATCTACTCCATCTGTCCCAAAATAAAACAATCTCGCTAAGATGTGATACATCCTAGTATATGTCCAGATTCATTGTACTTGGATGTGTCACATCTTAGTACAAGGTTAGCTTATTTTACAGAAAAACTAATACACGGAATCCCGTCGGGGGCATAGGGACACGTGATAAAACAGGGGTAAGCATTATATATTTCCTAGATCCGTTTCTCCCGAATCAAGTTTCCCCCACCGATTTATTTTTCTCCCCTACCGAGGAGTAGCACTTCGTCTTCCTCCTCCCTCCATCCACTCCTCTGCCCCAGTGGCCATCCTCCTTCTCCCTGTCCTCGATTCCTTGACCATCGTCTTCAACGCCGATGATATCCCCTATCCTCTTTTCCCCCTTTCTACACCGAATCTGGAGCATGTGAGAGTGTGGAGGTTGTCGAGGGCATGGGGGTTATAGCCAAGGACGAAGCCAACTATGACTATGAGGTTGGGGGTTGCCATGTGCGAGCAGAAGGAAAGAGAGGCGGCTAGGCCGAGGGGGACGAGCTCCTGGGCACCAACATGAAGGTGGAGGCGTCCAGTCTCGACGAAGATGATGACCTTGGTGTTGATGAAGTGGATCGATGAGAGGTCGTCGGGTTTCTTCATGCTCCTTGCTAGCCTATCACTTCTACTCGCTAATGTTGTGTACAGGTATGTCACAGCTGATACCTTAGGTATTAGAGGGTTGATACCAAGGTTTGATACCTTGGGGTATCATGTCTGGTACCCAAGTACTAGGGTCTGGTACCTTGGGGTATCATGCCTGGTACCCAAGTACTAGGGTCTGGTACCTCGGGTATTGTGCCTAATACCTAGGTACCAGGATCTGGTACCTTGGGGTATCATGCCTGGTATCTTAGGTACCAGCCGGTACCCATAGGTACTAGGTGCATGTTATCAAGTAGGAGTATTAGGTATCGGGTCTGGTACATATGGTATCAGGTGCCAGGTCAAGACATGAGGAAAGATAGTGCATTGTCATCGTTTGGTTGACCAACAAGTCACTATCATTGTCTCATCTTCTCTTCTCCCTTCCTCTCATCGACGCCTCCCTCCTTCTTTTGTTGTTGTTGTGATTAGTGAGGGCAAGGAGCTAGGGGTGCCACTGTTTCATTTATTTACAACATGGGTGCTCGAACATGGGGAAGACAGGTGGTGGGGGATTAGATTCATAAAGTATCCCGTTGGAATGGAATCCCGTGCTGTAGCAATCCTCTTATTTTAGGATAGATGGAGTAGACAGCAATACAATGTTTGTTGTGAGATAGTGGTAACGACACTAAACCTACCCTTGATATAGGAGTTTATGGTTGATTAGGACGAAGGATTTGCAATTGAGTCACCTAAAACCCTTAAATCCAACATGTTGTGCTCTAGTAATGTGGCAGGGTTACGGATAAGGTATACCCTCTACCCTTGGATATACGTCATACATCGATATGGTATATCTACGCGTATACGGACGTTCTTTGTACACGTTAAGGAAATTCATCACGGAGTCCACAGATGGAAAGATTCCTACTCGGATAAAACTGGGTCGTCACTGTATCGTGTAGGGTCCGATGTCTCCGAGTCCTACTTGGAGACCAACTGACCTACGGTATAAAAGAGACCCCCCGGGAGGACCTAAGGCATCGAATCTTATCGCCAACACATCCACTACAGCCTACGAAGCCGGAACCTACAGGAGCCAAGTCGCCGGGTGATCTAGTCGAACCAACTCGACTACGATCTCGTCGGTATCATCGAGTTCCACTATTCCCTTTGTAATCTGTGATTTCCGTTATATAATCCCATATCAACTGGATTAGGGCTATTACCTATTAAGGGGCCTGAACCAGTATAATCCCTGTTTTTTGTTGCTTGATGTCGTATTACGTAGATCCTCACACCAGCGTACCCCAATACCCTCTATATCCGGTCTACGGGTATCCCCCGTCGACATAATGAAAGTGATGTCTTATCTGGCGAAGGCATGACAGTAGTAACAACAACGATGATAGCTAGGTTAGTGTTTAGAGTTTCGGGGTAAGGATTGGGGGTAGGGCTAAGGTTAGAGGTTAGTGTAAGGGGAAGAAAAGGGTTTCCTGTGTTAGATGGTGGACCGACAGGGACAGTAGACATGTGTTAGTAGTGAGACAACAGAGCCATCAACAAAGCATGAGTTTGAAGGAGGACAATGAGCGAGGTCGATGATAGAGAAGTTAGGAGGTAATGGTATCTCTGGCAGCCTTAACCACCAAAGATGGGGGAAGAATATGGCAGGGCAGAGAGGGGAGGCACCTCACCGTTGTTTGACTTAGTAAGGAGAGGGTAAGAGGAGGGGGGAGGTCGACCTTGTAGGACTCGTGGGTACCTCACCGTTGTGCACGAAGCATGTTAGGCGTTGGTGGGGAGAAACACCTGAGGGGAGAAGATAAGGTTGGAATCATTGTAGCAACATGGATCTTGTTGCAATCTAGACCCTCTAAATATGAGTGAAATTTATAGTAACTGGAAATTAGATAGTCAACTTAGACAATTACGATGGTGAAAGAAACAAAGTGGTTAATAAGTGGTGACAATGAATATGAATCAATGGTAGTGGGTGATCCATGTTAAACTTATCATTGTGAAAATTGGTGGAATATCATAGTGTGACTTGGCCCAAGTTAGCCTTGATTTTGGCATGTTGCTTCTTCACTATAAGAAATTCAAACAACCAAACGTCATGTACCAGTTGTTCAGCTCCCAGCTTATAAAATGGCAAAGGCTAATACACCAAAATTGTTTTCAATTGATTTCCATGCACAAGTAGAACCCATGTTAAAAAAACACAACTTTCCTATCTCCTCTTATACTGAGGCAAGAGGTGTACCTTGCGCAAAATTTGGTTTATCGTCTCGCTTTGCCATACTCTTTTAGGTATGTGCTTGTTTCATTGCAAAGTTGGTGCATGTCATAGATATTTAATTTTTAGACCCCACGTGCTATACATTTACTATGTTTTAGTCAAATCTTATCTTAGATGCGACCATAAGTTTGTTAGTTGTCTTCAATATTTGTCTCACCTAAATTATCTTTAGGGTGTAATTCACTAGACCTTTTAACAATAGTACATTATCATTTTCTTCTCGTTTTAACCATCAAACCAACAATATTCCCTTATTCCCTTATCATCCTCGTTTGTTTTCTCCCCCCCCCCCTCGTTTTTTCTATGAGAGCCTCATTGGTCGCCCATATTTCCTAATAAGAAAAACGGTTTATTAGAGGAAAAAAATAATTTATAAGTAAAACTTTTATGTATTTGTTCGTAGTAACTTAAATGCCAACATTAAAAGGAAATTACGTTGAGAATATCTTATAATCAACTTCAAAATTAAGTTCAAAAATTCAAATTTTGGTTTTTTTTCTTTGGTTCATTAGGTCAACCGATGGGACTATGAAATGATAATCCTCTACTAATTCTCTTTAACTTAGCTTAAAATAATATATACTTTTAATAGATGAAGAGAGTAACTTTCGCCAAGTTTAAGAGTGAACCAAACATGACCTATAAACCCTGGAGTGAGCCCTAAACATGGTAAAGGCTGTGTTTAGTTCCACCGGTAAAAAGAATTTATTGGGTCATATCAGATATATGGATACCACATTTGAAGTATGAAACGTAGACTAATAACAAAACAAATTACATAATACGCATGTAAACTACGAGACGAATTTATTAAGCCTAATTAATCTATCATTAGCAAATATTTATTGTAGCACCACATCATCAGATTATGGCGCAATTAGGCTGTCGACGGGGGATACCCGTAGACTAGATATAGAGGGTATTAGGGTACGCTGGTACGAGGATCTACGTAATACGACATCAAGCAACAAAAAACAGGGATTATACTGGTTCAGGCCCCTTAATAGGTAATAGCCCTAATCCAGTTGATATGGGATTATATGACGGAAATCACAAATTACAAAGGGAATAGTGGAACTCGATGATACCGACGAGATCGTAGTTGAGTTGGTTCGACTAGATCACCCGGCGACTTGGCTCCTGTAGGTTCTGGCTTTGTAGGCTGTAGTGGATGTGTTGGCGATAAGATTCGATGCCTTAGGTCCTCCCGGGGGGTCTCTTTATACCGCAGGTCAGTTGGTCTCCAAGTAGGACTCGGAGACATCGGACCCTACACGATACAGTGACGACCCAGTTCTATCCGAGTAGGAATCTTTCCATCTGTGGACTCCGTGATGAATTTCCTTAACGTGTACAGAGAACGTCCGTATACGCGCAGATATACCATATCGATGTATGACGTATATCCAAGGGTAGAGGGTATACCTTATCCGTAACCCTGACATAGGCTTAAAAGATTCGTCTCGCAATTTATATACAAACTGTGTAATTAGTTTTTTTAATATTTAATACTCTATGGTCATGTTCTTTTCTCTAACAAAAGTTGGATTAAGATTAAGATTTTTGTGGCACGCTTTTCAAACTGCTAAACGATGTGTTTCGTGCGAAAACTTTCTATATGAAAGTTGCTCTAAAATATCATATTAATCTATTTTTTAAGTTTGTGTAAAACTCAATCAATTATAAGTTAATACCATCTTATTTTACGTAAAAAACTTAATCTTCATCTTTATTTTTAAGAGATTCAAACACCACCTATCCAACGTTTGATGTGATGAAGAAAAAAAATTTGCCGGTGGATCTAGACACCCCCGAAGAATCAATGTGCCATGAGTCATCAGTCATGACTCATGACACGATGGGCACACGGTCACGCACCACATGGCGCCGGCGCCGTGCCACGCTGACCCTTCTTCTCTTCCCCCGTTGCGGCTGACAAACTATTAATGCCCCCCTCACGCCCCGTGTTCAATTCGCCCCCCAAAAACCAAACCTCCCTTCTCTCTCTCTCCTCCTTATCTCCAGTTCTCCACCCACCCACCCTCAGTGCCACTAAAATAAAGGCCACCGGTGTCAGCGCGTGGGGCCCACCTACCGGCCCCCACCACCCTGTCAGACACGATCAGAGACACCCCAACCCAACCCAACCCAACCCAAGCCCCGCGGCGACACCCGAGAGAGCTCAGCTCAGCTCAGCTCGGCGACGACGACGAGCGCGCGCGCGTCTGCCGCTGCTGCGGCTGCCGAGCAAGAGGACATGCATGTGAAGTCCCCCCGCTACTACTCAATAATTCCTCCGCTTCCTTCCTCTCGGCTCTCACCCCACCCAGGCCGCAGCGACCACCACCACCGCGCCGCGGGGCCCACCCACCCCTCGCGTCCTCCAGCCGCCAGCCAAGCCAGCTCCTGCGCCTTTGTTCCCATGCGCCCGCAAGAAACCCCACCCCCACCACCACCCAAGAATCTCTCTCACACACTTCACTCGGTCTTCCTCTTCTTCTTCTTTCCATCTCTCTCTCTCTCTCTCTGGTCTCAGTGAGGTGAGGTGAGGTGAAGGTCAGTGATGGCGTGGGGGGCTTGCGCTCTGCTCCTCCTCCTCCTGGTACTTGGTGCGGGAGGAGGAGGAGGGGTGCATTGCCTGGAGGTGACGAGGAGCAGGAGAGCCTTGCAGAGGAGGCACCACCTGAGGTCAAGTGAGTTCTCTTTGCATTGATCCCTTCTTTGCTCATCGCCTTCTTCTTCTTCTTCTCTCCTTCTTTCTTGATGCTCTTCGATGGCATGGGATTGGGTAGCTAGCTAGCTAGAACGGATTCCATGCTTTTCATTGCTTGGTGTTCAGGCTTCAGACACCATAGTTTTCTCTGAACATGCATAGGTGTTGACGTGTTGTTGTAACACGATAATCTGCAATGTGTTGGTTTGATGGTGCTTGCGTTCTTGATTAGTTAATGATTACTGCTCCCAGTTTTACATCGTAGTGTTGCCAATGGGGGGAAAAATGACCCGTTTTGGCAAGAAAAGTGGAGGCGCGTGAATTGCCAAGATGTGAGTGTGACTGCGCCATGAATGTGATGAGCTCCTTCTATATCTATGGTGTTCGTTGGTCAGCGGCTCACCCGGGGCGTTTGCCAAAAGTAGCACGCCTCCAATGTAGCCTTCGACCATGGGAAGAATTGCATAAACAATGATGGGAATAGTAGCTAGTGAGCTGGTAGATTGATTTCCATGTGGTTGGTGAATGGTGGTGACTCGGACTGATCGATGATGCTTTGAGGTTTTTCAGGAGCAGAGAGTGGCGCCACCATACTGGAGCTCAGGCACCATGGCGGCGGCGGCGGCGGCGGCTCGGGGAAGAGCGGCGGGAGGAGCAGGGAGGAGGAGCTCGGCGGCCTCTTCTCCTCCGACGCCGCGCGCGTCTCGTCGCTGCAGCGTCGCGCAGGCGGCGGGTCTTGGGCGGAGGACGAGGCGGCGGCGGCGGCGGCGACCGGGCGGGTGCCCGTCACGTCCGGGGCGAGGCTACGGACGCTGAACTACGTGGCCACCGTGGGGCTTGGCGGCGGCGAGGCGACGGTGATCGTGGACACGGCGAGCGAGCTCACCTGGGTGCAGTGCGCGCCGTGCGCGTCGTGCCACGACCAGCAGGGCCCGCTGTTCGACCCGGCGTCGTCGCCGTCCTACGCCGTGCTGCCGTGCAACTCCTCCTCCTGCGACGCGCTGCAGGTGGCCACCGGCTCGGCGGCCGGGGCGTGCGGCGGCGGCGAGCAGCCTTCCTGCAGCTACACCCTCAGCTACCGTGACGGCTCCTACTCCCAGGGCGTCCTGGCGCACGACAAGCTGAGCCTCGCCGGCGAGGTCATCGACGGCTTCGTGTTCGGCTGCGGCACCAGCAACCAGGGGCCATTCGGCGGCACCTCCGGTCTGATGGGTCTAGGCCGGAGCCAGCTCTCGCTGATATCACAAACCATGGATCAATTCGGTGGTGTCTTCTCATACTGCCTACCTCTCAAGGAGTCAGAATCATCAGGGTCTCTCGTCCTCGGCGACGACACCTCGGTGTACCGGAATTCAACCCCAATTGTGTACACAACCATGGTTTCCGACCCGGTGCAAGGGCCCTTCTACTTTGTTAACCTGACCGGGATCACCATTGGCGGCCAGGAGGTAGAATCTTCAGCTGGCAAGGTTATCGTCGACTCGGGAACGATCATCACGAGCCTCGTGCCTTCGGTGTACAATGCGGTCAAGGCAGAGTTCTTGAGCCAGTTCGCGGAGTATCCGCAAGCGCCGGGGTTCTCGATTCTTGACACTTGCTTCAACTTGACAGGGTTCAGAGAAGTGCAGATTCCTAGCCTGAAGTTTGTGTTTGAAGGCAATGTGGAGGTGGAGGTTGATTCCAGTGGAGTGCTCTACTTTGTCAGCAGTGATTCTTCTCAGGTTTGCTTGGCTCTGGCCTCCCTGAAATCTGAGTATGAAACTTCAATCATTGGTAATTACCAGCAGAAGAATCTGAGGGTCATATTTGACACTCTAGGATCTCAAATTGGATTTGCACAAGAGACTTGTGATTATATTTAACATGATTTGATTTGGAGGGGGAAGGGGGCCATGAGCTATGTGAATATCCCTATACCTGGAGATCTGTTTTGAGATTACTTCTGGTAATTGGCAAATGGTAGTACAGTATTAGTTATTGTCAAATGTACAAGCATCTATAATTGCTTCATTCTGTTTTTTTTTTTTACTGCCGTTTCTTTGTGCTTCAGTTCATCCTAGATTAATATCGTTTCAAGAAACAAGTGGATTTTTTTTGTTTGTCTTCTTGTTTCATTAGATCCTACAACTTCCTTGTAATTTCAGATCCTACTGTAGATCATCCAGTGCATATTGACAACAAGAAGCACAATACCAACTTGTAAATTTAGAGGGGAAGGCAGTAGTGGTTATGTTTTTTTTTTAATGAAAGAAATTAGGCATAAGTGAGCAATGTACAGCAACTGCGCAATCACTTGAGAGAATGCCGAATAAGAAAATTTATGTAAAAAGAAAGCAGATCAGGACATGCCGATCCTATAGCGATCAGATCTGACACATGAGGTCGGCACTACCTTTCCAAATGAAGACATCTGCAAGAAACAGCAGACAGAGAATATACACTATGCAGAAATGTGCTTTTACAGGATACAGATCAAATCATACGCCAGAGTTACTGATAGTATAAATTAAAAATGAAAGAAGAATAAAAGGCTAGAATCGCATTCTCAGTTCTCACATCACCCAATTGGGAATGCGAGCTCCAGTGGTTTCAGGTATTCTATCTCATGAAAACTGAAAAAATAACTGGCAAATGATAGTTGTAACTTATGAACAAAATATATTTGCCTATAACCCAGTACATGTCTCCTGAAGTTTCACATTTTTCATGCATTTTTTTTCAACCATTCACTTTGTTCTGGCTAGAATGGAAGAAAAAACTACCAAACAAACAAGCAGTCTTAGCCACTGAGCTACCAATACTGCAATACATACTGCTGCACCATTATGTACTTACATGAATACTCGGAGGGAATTTTTTTTAATAGAATACAAAAACTGAAGTAGTAGTACAATCACGGATTCAGAATCTAAAGCAAGGTACAGTCTCGCGCTAAGCACTAGAAGCTCATCATCCACCTGATCTGACAGTGTCCCGGCAGGGCATGCAACACAACATCCGTCCATCGACCCAACATCCACATGCTGGCTGGCCTTTCGGTGCTTGCAGACAGCACAAGAGACCAAAGAAACACAGCTGTGGATCAGGCTAGCCTGCCTGCGTGCAATGCAGACGTGCCAAACAACATATGCATCCTCCAGCTCAGGATGCATGTTCCTCAGCATGCACATCAGGTTAAGGCTGGAGTGACTGATTAGGCAACTCCTTGATTTTTTTTATATAATATAAGCTTGTTTGTTTGGAGGCTTATACTTAGATTTTGGGATATTAAAGTTTCTCTAAAGTTTAAGAAGTATTAGTGTATTGTTCTATCCGTTCAAACATATAAGATGCATATTATGTTTCGTTAGCATAAAGACTTTAACCGACAATTACTCAATCAAAAAAAAATTGTCACAAAATTAATGTTGTTTGATTTATATTCAAAAGCACTTGTAATTTTGATTTGGTATCACATAAATGATACTCCTATATTAGTAAAGCAATTTTTAGCTAAAGTTTATCATAATAAAACAAAATACGATATATTAATAGATTTATATGGTATGCTCAAGTTGTGGCTGCCTGCCTGACAATGCGAATCAGATGACAGGAGATTTTAGCACATGAAGCAATAGTTTGATGGGGTCAGGAGGCAGGCTGCAGAGGGTTGTCAGTCAAAAACAAGAGTGATCAGAGCTCCCATGTTTGACTTGACCAGATACTGTCACAAAGCTCAATGATTCTTAATACTGCATGGAATTTTTTGGATGCCGATCGCAAGATTATGTGCTCGGCCAATTGCTCTTTTTATAGCTTACAGATTATAAATTATCGGGCCCCATCTTTTTTGTCAAAGGTTGAAAATATGTCATACAACATATTAGAAAAAAAATATAAGTAAAACTTTTGTATATGTATTCTTAGTGATTTAAATAACAATATTAAAAAGTAAACTACGATTGAAAAAACTTTAAAGTAAATTTTAAAATTTAAATTTTAGCAACAGCTGATTCTGTACGGAGGAAATGATGAGGTCCATCATAAGCACGCTTGCCATGCGCCTAAACAACAGAATATTTAATTCATTTCTTTATACTCCAGAATAACTATTAAACTCAATTACATCCATCATCTACCGAGAATGCACCAAAGTGTGGCAAGATCATTCAATACCGTGTCACAGGTCAGTAAGTCACAACCAAACAGCACCTTAAAATCTACATAGCACCATGGAAATTCAATTGTTCTTTTTTCTTTCATACAGTTCCTAAACTGTCTAGTCCCAACAGTCATGTACAAGCAAAATATTGAGGAAAACCAAATTGGATCATGACCTTTTTCTATCATGGAGAAAATTTCCAAATCAACTGATATTTATGAATTCTCACAGATAAACTAGTTACTAATGCCGCACAAAAAATAATAGAATTAACTAAACTCGCTAAGGATGGTAGGAGTTTATGATGCACACGCATATTGGGGTACAAAACATTTTTGCCTGACTAACTCATGCAGATCGTGGACAATTTTAAACACTGCATCCGGTCGCGCTAGTTTCAAGGCATTTTGAGACATCATTTTGAGCTCGTCTGACCTAGGGCCAAACCAATCGGCTACAATCTTTGCAATTTGTTCTGGAGATTTTGAGAACTTCCCACATCCATTATCAACAACATATGGAACATTGCCAGCTTCCTGTCGTGTGAATAAAATATTTTAGAAAGATAAACAAATCATGTTGTACACCACATCGATACTTATAGATATAATACACCTCGTCCATGGAAAAAAAAACTTTTAAGGAATTGATGGGATCTAATGCCATCTTTAATTTAACATAAAGACATATTATCAGGATAACTTTTGGAATAAATATGGCGAGAATAGCTGCATGAACCCTGATGATAGAGCAAAAATGGATGGTGTAAACCAAAGATGCCAGGTGTGTATAAGAATGGCATGTGGGTATAAAAGCCAACTTCGGTAAACTAAGAATCCATCAAAATAAATGTTGAGCATAGTTTGGAACTTGGCTTGAGCTGGGTGGTATTCGATCTATGATTGTATTCTACAGATATTGTTGCGATCTTTATTTACCACTACTCAAACATATTCAATCTAGATTCAGAAAAAGGATAAATGGGTGCATTAATGCTGTAATATTATGAAAGCTTATAGTGAGGGGTAAAACGATGTGCCAACTACCCAACAACATATAAATCAGTGTCATTTCTCAGCGAAAATGATGAAATCAAGCAATCACTACATTGACTGACTGGAGAATTACCTGACCAGCAATATATCCATTTAGTATAATGGGCAGGCCACGAATCATGGCCTCTGCAATTGTACCAGGCCCCGCCTGAAGATCACCATAAATCATGTATCATAAGTTCATCACTAATTGTGTAATATATATCAGATAGCGAAGAACATGATCTGAAAAGGTGAAGCTAATGTACAGCATACCTTTGTAATTATACAGTCACAAGCACCCATGCATTCTTCCATCTTTGTAACGAAACCCTTAACCTAAGATTTCAAAAACAAAAGAAGACTTAAGCACTGGAGTGTATAACTTTGGTGCAGCCAGCAAATAATTCCTTTAGTAAAAGATTCTGCGCAACAGATGAAGAAAGCCTATGCTACAGTCTACGCTTATGACTCACTCGATGTATCCTGAATCCACCATAAATCGAATTCTACAATCAATATGGTAGTTTGGTTTAAGTTATTTCTGCACTTAACAGATGAAGACATGTGCTGTATACTTTGGGTTTTGCAAAGGTTGAAGAAAACATATCCTTGCGCAGGAAAGAGCAATATCAAAAACTGGTAAGCCAGAGTTGTTGCAATTTCCAAATGCTTGGAAGATACAAATCTGGATCAGCTTTAAGAATGCACCTGAACTGGAACTTTCCAATTGATTGACTGCAATCGGCTAGTCAGCTTCTTATTACGGCCACAAATCACAAGTATTTGACCAGTGGGTTCACCAAGGACTTCGTCATATAGAGCATCACCAAGTGCTCTAGCAGTGGCTTCAATAGGACCCATCCCTTCCCCCCCACCCATTAGTAGAACAGCAGGCAAATATTCATCCATACCTAACTCCCTTCGCAGTTCATCCTATCAAAGAAGATAAGAACATGTAGAAAACTCAGGAACTTGTGCAGATGACAAAAGATCCAAAAGGCAGTAAGGTGCTGATAGTTGAATAAATTGTTTACCTCTGGTCGAATAGGTTTGACAAAAGATGGACGTACTGGGAGGCCATAGACTTTAATTTGCGAGGGCTGCAATCCAGCTTTTAGTGCTCTCTTTGACACTTCAGCTGATGGACAGTAACATCTAGTAACAAGCTTGTGAAACCTACGGGATAGCAGTAAAATAACTATTTCACTGTAAGGGCAATAACATGTGTATCTTAAACTTGATAAGTGACCTGAACTGGTATTAAGTTACATGAACATTGAAACCGGCATACCATGTTGGGTGACAAGTACTCAGATCTGTGACAACTGTTGTGAACGGAATCTTATCCAGTAAACCTTTTGACCTTAGGATTCGGAGTGGGACATGCTGCATTAAAGGATGGACACTGATAATTACATCTGGTTGGTATTTCATGAGACCTTTTGCAACCTCTCTGCAGGAAAATAAGAGAGGCAATTTCGATATTATATACCATGTTATTCACAAATATAGGCAAGGACCACAGCTAAAGTATAGCACATACTCACTCCATCCAAAGTATAAGCACTTCTGGAGTTTTTCACGGGGATTAAGGAGAGAGGTAAAATTAAATGGGGGATGGTTGTGATTGGTTGAGATGAGGAAGTAGGTTGAGAAATTAAATGAGAGAGTTGTGATTGGTTGAGATCAGGGAGTAGGGAGAAGTTGCTGTATTTTGGGATGAAGGGAGTATTTAACAAGACAATAAGGGTCTACATGTGAATCACTTTAATATTAACAGGAAAATAACTAAAGAGATCAAAGTAAAGAAAGCTAGCCACCGCGGAGTGTTCTCGAAAAGCTAAACTTTAGAACATCATCACAGGCTCATGGGAAACCATAGAATTGAGGCATTGGGTATATAAACCCACATCCCTGGCAGTGGTCCTAACTAATGTTCTTTAATCATAAAAAAACCGCTTAATTTAGATAAGGCGACATAATATATTTTTAATTCAATCATGACCATAAGAGTGGCTGGCCTGATATTAACAAAATTTGAGGTGAAAAAACAAAAACTCACAATATGTTTGGAAATGAGCAAGA